ACCCTAAAAGAGTCATCCCCACAGTGTGTTTTTATATGTCCGATTGTTATTTTGTATTTATTTATTTATTTCACAGGGACCTTGCGCATTAATCAACACAAGAATAAACAGTGTACGTAAATGCACCTGACTTAGCATAAAGTTTTCAACCAGAGTCCCAAGACGGGTTTCTAAAATAGCACAGTGAGACACATAAAACTCTAAGATCACAATGACAGAAATAAGAACAAAATAAGAAGAATGAATGTGGCTGGAAACCTTCTGAAGGAGCAGACTCTGAATAAATAATATTTGAGTGTGCGGGCTGAGTCTGACCAGAACTCATTTTGTCAGTGATATATTGAATTTGGTTGAAGCTTCTGGCATAACATATTTTTCAGAGGCCCGATTTGTTTGACTGATACTCTACAACAAAGGCCAGTCTGAGGCTGCTCTACCGACTTGTAGCAGCTCTTTTGGGGTTTTCTGTAATTAGCAGTAAATAAACTTGACATGTAGAAGTTTGAAATCTAAAGTTAATGGGAAGTAATTGAAATAATCCAGGGTCGGACGTCATCACAAAATTGATTGTTTTAAATCAACAGGCAATCTTTGAAGTAACATTGAAACATTCATAGCTGTCAAACAAAAAGAAACTAACCACTGGTAAATATAATACAACACATCTTTAGAACGAGAGAATGGCCAGTCTAAAAAACAACTTCAATGAAAAGAAGGGTAAAGGATTACGGTGGCTAGCATTGTAGATGTTCCCCACACAGCTCATGTCTTAATTGTATCACTTAGAAGTTAATCGTTATGAAATATAACAAACATAAAAACACCCCAACTTCTCTCAAGGCGGTACTTATAAAAAAAGATAATATCACCTATAATAAATATCTAATAAGGTCAAAAAATAAATAATGATTGTTGATGTAAAACTCTGCCTTATTTGATCAAAATCAGCCGACTGACATACTCACGGAACCCTTGGAGATTTCTGGCTAAAAGGTAGCGTCAACGAATGCATGCTAGTCTTTCGACGATATTCCCAGCGGTGCTTTAAAGACTTCCTCGAAAGCAGGTGATAGAAGTTTATTGCTATGAACCATTTCCCCCCTGAGAATCTCCTCCCAAAGAGCCAAACAGATTTGAGGGTCACACATCAGTGAATGTACAACAGCATGCAACTTGGTCAAATTTTTGCCTGCCTGAAAAAAAAAATCAATTTAATGAAATAATAAAAGGACTTGCCGAATGAGTCAATGATGGTGAAATGGTAAACTCGCCTCATTCTCATACATAGCATGGCTTCAATTACGATTTGACGATTGAGTGGTCCGGGTCCAGAGTTTAGTCCAACTTTGATCTACGGAGATGAGGCTCCCGTTCCTCACGAATCCAAACCGGAACAACGGTATAGATAATGGACGGATGGCTGATTTATTTATGACTTATTTTCAACTTGTGAGAGCTTGCAGCTGTTCGAGGCAACGCAGCTGTAGGAAAGATTCGAAGTCAAGTGACTTGTTACGTACTGAATTTAGTACTACATTACAGTACATTCAAATTGGATGACGAGCCCCATGCATGTCCAGACATCTGCAGTGACACTACTAACACATGCCGAGTATGCTTTTTTTTTTCAAGGTGGGGGGAAAGTAAGATCACCAGCTAAAATCAAGACAACTTGGTAATATTGTATGACCCAACTTTTGATATTTTTTTCAGCGTGCACGCTTTGATTTGGACATTTCTTTAATTTTTTTATTTTCTTGCTTTGGTTTGTCAGCAAAATTTTGAGATATGCAAGCTAGATGGTGGCAGCAAACTCAACTCACTTCAAAAGTCTTAAAAAAAAAACACAACACAAACAGCACCGAGAGTTGCATTGTTTTAACCCTTTAAGCAGTGGCTGCTTGAACACAAATGACAAAGCAACACTTGTAGACAGACGACATAACGTTTATCACAAGCATACATGACATCGTCCTCTACCGAAAACAATTTATGGCACCGAAAAAGAGCACAATGTGGGGCTGAAACAAAATAATGGGCACCTCTATCCATTTCAATGGAGTGGGGGATGATTTGCGATACGAGTGTTTTGAGTTACAAGAATGAATTACACATTACGCACCGCTGTATTTTGCTACAATTTCAAAGAGGTTGTGTTTTTTGCATAGATTGTAACATAGAACTCATACCAGTTAAATGTGAAAAACGTTGCCACTGTTTGGTGAATTCCAGTATGTATTGCATTTAATAGTTTTCTTTAATGATACATCTCTGTTCCAGTGCTCCTTTGAGCTTCCACTTGCCATCAAAATGGCAAAAAAACAGACTACCATCTCGCATGGCCCAAGTTTAATGTGGTTTCACATTTCGGTGTATGTCTGTCTGTCTCTCAGGAAATGCGCACTCACAATCTGCCATACTATCAAACAAAATGTCCCCCTTGCTCATTCCATTTTACAACATATCCTGTTTTATATCTGATGAAGCATTACTTTTTTTCCCTTTGCAGTCATAGCTGGAAATCCCTTTTGTATTAGTATGAGACACATTTGCTTCCTTTTTTTTGTCTTTAATCTGCTGTAAAGTCACTTTGGGGATTATTTGACTTCTTACGATGTCAAAAAAAAAGGGCATGTGATGATAACCTTGGTATGAACTTCTTAAACTCCCATTCAATTAGACCAGTTTCATAGATGCTAGCCTGATCAATCCATAAAATACGATTCTATTTTTAATAACAATTCACATATCAATGTTCTACCACAGTATTGCATTAACATTTGCCCAAAATCCTACAAAAATTTTCAACAGCCCGTTTCTTGTTTCGTGACCTTTTTGTGTTTCACCTCAGGATTGTTACACCCCTCCCGGGAAGATCTTGAACATTCGCTTTGTTCCGTGCCGATTAAGGTCGCACACTGATGAAGGCCAGTGAGCCTCCTCCAAGGTCTCCATGTCCTCACAATTCCCAGCTGTGGGAAATCACTCCATTTGTTCACTGTAATTCTCCATTAACTTTCAATTTCTTTCTGTAGCCCAGCTTTGGCTGGGAGACAGAAATTGAGCTTTTAATCATAATACTAATGCTGCCGCTTTGCGAGGTGTCAACGTTTTTACTTAAGAGTCTTAAGACACAGTGTTTGTCAGGCGCATGCGGCAAGCACAGTGTAGCTGTGCTAGTTCAATCATTGATGTGGCCCAGGTGATGAGGAACAATCAAACTTGTCGTCAAACTGGCAGACTTTGCCACTCATTGCAGTGTGCTGAAACCTGTCAAGGCAGGATGTGGTGAGTCGTTGCTTTTAGGGGGAGGGGGGGGGGCGGTGTGTGGTTGTCTGTCCTAGCCTCTTGTGAAAAACCTTGAGTGCCAAAACACTTAAAAAAGCACACTCCGGTGAAAGTGTGTGTGAGAACTGTACTTTTCAGTGCAGTTACCATTTGTGAGCCTTTCTTTTGTTTTCACAGCTCATTGACTGCATTGCTAGACGATGTGTGCTTTAACTTCCCATGGTTACGAGTCACTTCACAAGTGTCAACAAGGATGGCAAAAACATCTACAACACTTAAAATTTTTTTGAAAAAAAGTGAAATTGTGTCTGTTTGTCCATCTGCTTGTAACAAGGCCACAAGATGTAATATGACTGTGCGTCAGTGCTGAAAGATGGGTGAGCTGATGTTTATTTCAAGACAAAGAGTACCGGTAGTAGGATTATAAAATAATTTTCAGTATGAAGCACTGACATGGTGTCCTCCAAAGTGACATGACCATTTTTGATCCATCATATCATATAGTTCAGATGTATTTGTCTCCGGTAGTGTGAGCTACTCTGGTATTGCAGTAACAATCAACTACGACAATCAAAGGCACGACCCATCGGTCTAGAAAGTCTTGGCGTAACGTAAGGGTAGCGTTTGTGCAGTAGTACCACCAAATGATGGTTGTGCAACAACAATCCGGAGAGTCATCAAGCAAAGATAAAGTGACCAGTGGTGCGGTAATTTCAATACTATGACGTTTGCGCAGATGATACAGATAATCGTTGCACGCTTTAAAGTGAGCAGTAGGACTGGCAAAACTAAATCACAGCTAATAAGTTTCACATTCACATTGGGTACTACTTCCAGCATTTTACATGGGTTTTACTTTTTTTTTTTTAATCCAATCCAATCTGCCAGGGGCCAATAGTGGAGAATTATTTATTTTAAAACTATGGGAATGTCTCTTCAGTCAATCACATTTCAAATTCACATAACAGGGCCAGCTAGCTGGCCCACAATAACATCAATGTTTTTTCCGCTGTCTGATTGTTTCGTGAGAACAAGCCAAGCGCCTCTAGCGTACACATTTGTAACAATCTGCACACATTAATACATTTGATAATCAACATCGCTGATAAGTGGGGTGGATTTTATTTAAATGGTTTGTTTTTGTCATGTTATTAAGTACTTTTTAAATGTTGATTCTACTACAACTTCAAATGATGTACTGTATGTGGCACCGTATATTGCATTTTTGTACAGTATTGGTGGTCCCTGCAAATTGACAGTGGATTAAGTCATCCAGGTGCCTTGCTGTTAAATGACAAAGAATTGCTTTTTATTTGATTGTCTTAATTTTAACCATGAAAGACAACCGAGCAATAAGAATCAGGCCATATTACCCCCCCCCCCCCCAAAAAAACCCACACAACTATGTGAGACAAATATGATAAACACTTGTTTCCCAGGACTGCCTATTCATGATATAGTAATTTAGTGATAAATTATCAATTAGCATGCTAATTTCTATTATTCATTTATTCTTACAGTCTATCCATTCAATACATTTCCAGAGACTTTTGGAATTCAAAACAGATATGGGTGTTTTATTTCATCCCTGTTGACATGCGACACTTTTAGAGTACAGAGTTACGTAGGAATAATACGGTATGAAATATGTCTCCCATCGTGACTACGTATTGACTTGTTTCCAGTTTGTAAACAAAGATGACGTAATCAGGAGGCTCGCGCTTTTTGAAAGGACGGTGGGGTTCGTTATGTACACGGGCCGACTAACTGTAAAGTATTGCGAAAATCGCTGTTGAAAACTGAACATAGCCAGTTGAAAAGCAACATTCCGAGCCTTTTGGGATTACTGAGTGAGAGGAAGATGTGGCGAAACCAAGTGTTCACACTACAGAGAAAACCGCGAGCCCCGCTAGTATAGTCAACAGAAAGGAGAACTACCTCCTCAAATCTTATTCTACTCGCATAGCAGGGTGAGTAACGGAGCCAGCTAGTCGTCTGATTTGTTTTGTTGATTGTTATACGATATAAAATGGAACTGAGATTCACTGCAGTTTGTTGTGACGGCGATGTCAGTGTGACCGCATTTTAGGCCTACTTTTAATTCAAATGTTGAGGTGTTCTCAGACGTCCATGGAACATGGCACAGGTAAACGTCACAAACAATAATGCTTACGAATTCAGATCTTTTTTAAGTCACATGCAGCTGGTTAAGTTACATGGAGCTGGTGTGCACCGAAGCTCATCGCTCAAGGTAAACGTCACAAACAATAGTGCGTTTACGAAATAAGATTTTAAATTACATGGAGCTGGTGTGCACCGAAGCTCATCGTTGAATGAGTTAGCTACCACTTACTAGCTCGCACTCGCAATTCCACAATTCCTGACTATTTACCATTTCAAGACATAGAGGTTAAGTTAAACTAAAAGGCCACAATAATTTACCAGATATGAAATGAGCACCGCTGTGCGTGAAATAGCTTGCAGCCACTGGCTCCTCCGGTGTTTGTGATTTGGCCTGTTTCCTCTTGGAATTGAGAAATTTTTAACGCCTTTCCTCTCTGATTCATACACACACCAGCAAAGCATGATGATATTGTTTGAAACTATTCAAAACGTATTACAACTCCACCGGGGGAAAAAAAAAAGAAAATACAAATCTTCACAGCCGCACGTTGTTTTAAGCCAATAATGCGCGCACAGCTTTTGATGACGTAGAACGCAACTGGGCCCATAATCCTCCTAAAGTGAACACACAAGAAACAGATGACATCATACCACATTCATTTTTAAGTGTACAAATGAGTCAGCATTCATATCAAATTTTCTGTTTTCTTTTTTTCTGTGATTTTTACCTTCACGGACATCCCCGACCTTGAGGCACTGAATGTCCTTGTTACTGTTGTTACTCATCACCTCTCATCCTTCCATCCCCCTCTCCACTTCCATTCCTCCTCCGTCATCACCCTCCTCATCACAGTGTTCCAGCACTGTCCATTCTTTGACGTGACCCCCATCAGACTGTCCCTCCTACTAAATCTCCCTTCTCCGGTGTCACTATCCCTTTTGCTCTCACCCTGGCCTCATTTGTCCACTCTCTCATTTTCCCATTGCGCTCGCCATAAATATGCCTCTCTTTCTCCCAGCTGTCTTCTTCCATCCATGCATAACCTCTAAACATGATCCTCTCCTCTCACTATCCCACGTTCAGAACAATCCGCAAATGGATCGGCATTCCACGGACACAACGAATCGGCCTGACGTCCCTGGCGAGTGCGGCCGATTGACGCCGATGCCGCTGTCCTGCATGAGGCACTAGGTCAATCAAGGTGTGAGAAGTGGAAGGTCACAGACTACAGGAGATAAAGTTGGAAGGATAACAGAGAGGCAACTGGGACGTGAAAGGAACACACCAGGTTTGGGAGGAAGAGGAGAAAACCGTCAAGCATCAAGTGGGTGGCAAAGATGATGACATCACATGGAAAACTGAGGAGGGAGAAGGGTAGTCTGGCCGAATATGAATCTCAGATGAAAGGTGAGTCGCCGGGCATGTGTACAAGCTTGTGTTGTGTCATATGCACAGATCAGACACTTCTCGTCTTACTTGCATTTGTATTTACATGTGTTTACAATATTACCGTCTGTGTTGCATAAGTTCTTGATTTTAAGTGACTTTTTAATTCTCAGTTAATGGTAATTACTCGTATCGTGGGAGAGCACAAAATCAAAATCTAATGACATCTATATTGCATCTCTAATAGACAGCCACTGCCTGTCTGTCATCTTGCTCTATGAAAACTCATATACTCATATTTGGATTGACACTTCCTGAGACAGAGTTGGCGACAGTACTCTCACCCTGTATTTAAGTACAGACTATGAAAATTAACCCTTTTAGGGACAGCGGTTAATACAGCGGACAGCTTATCATGTTATCAGGTTACAGGGTACATGAAAAAAAAATCCACAATACCCATTTTGATGCGTAAAGGTCTGGTAGTTTGACGGTCAGGTTGTTTGAAAAATACTTTCACTTTCCTAATCAAAGACGTAAGATGTTCGGAAAAGCTGGTCTGACTCTGTACACAACCATTTGCATGATTGAGCTGGGGGGAGGGACATTTTCCATGTGGCTGTCTCATGATTCAAGTGTCGTTGCTCTACCTACTGTTGTGAATTACAAGCCGTTTCTAGACTGCCACTTCAAGACAGGATCTGGCTGCCTCTCTGAGGGTTTATGTAGACAGCACTGACACAGAATTTGAAGGACAGCCATTCATCCATTTTTTATGACGCTTTCTCAATTGAGGTCACCAGAGAGCTTTTGGGCTTTTCGGTTGACAGTCAATCACCGGGCACATATAGACGACCATTTGCACCCACATTTACGTCACACCTACAAACAATTGAGAGTCTTTGATTAACCTAACTCGGAATGGAACCTGGCCAGACCGTTGTGGGTTCGATCCCGGCTTCCGCCTTCCTGTGTGGAGTTTGCAAGTTCTCCCTGTGCCTGTGTGGGTTTTCTACGGGTTCTCCGGTTTCCTCCAGCGTTCCAAAAACATGCATGGCAGGCTGATAGAACACTTGAAATTATCCCAAGGTGTGAGTGTGAGCGCGGATGGTTGTTTGTCTCTGTGTGCCCTGCGATTGGCTGGCAACCGGTTCAGGGCTCCCGCCTCCTGAGAGAGAGAGAGAGAGATTTTTTTTTTTTTTTTTAACCACATTACCCGTGGACTTGTGGTTGGGGAACACTGGTGTTGAAGCCCCCGATGAGCCATGTCAAAAGGTCTCCATTGGAATAACCCCTCAGCCTTGTGAGGAATCCTTCAGTGGAAGCCAAACCATGATTCAATTCTGACAGCACACACATTGCAGCTAATAGTGTGTATCCATATACTGTATGTGCGTGCATGCATGCGTAAGGTTACGTGCGGGGTTTGGGAAGAGTGCATACCGAGGTTCGCCGGCTCTGTACTGTACTACACGAATGTATTTATAGTCGTTATTAGCCACGCTGTCTCCTCACATCCAGTCAGCCCCTGGGCTGTGTGCGCCCAAAATGAAGGGAAGAAGGGAAAAGAAGGGGGGGGATAAGAAGGCTGGGAGAGTGAGAGATGAAGAGTGATGCACAGACACTTTTGATATGAGACAATGATGACTTTATTGGCCTCAAAGCTCATGCGCAGCACTGGGCCATGCTGAGTTCACTCACCAGCGTGTGTGTATTTCAATGTTAATTGGGGTTATAATGAGTTACCTGAGTGGAAGTAATTGCTGCATGAAACGGAGTCAGACACAAATTGTAACCATGTATTACCTTCTCGTCAGGAAATGACTAAAATACCAAATTGGATGAGTTCACTTTCATGCAAGCCATTTTTATGTCTGTCGATTGATGAAAGGGAGAAACTACACAGTATTTATGTTTTTATCAAAAAATTTGTGATTTTTGAATGACAGATTTCAGAGCATGCTGGATTTGTTGACCAGTGTCATTCAGTCATTTTTTTTTCTATTATGAAAGTTGTAAAATAAGAAATTAGATACTACTACTTCAAATGCAGCTTAATAGCTAACAGTTGTAGTTTATCGCTGAAAATGGGCAAACGTACTCCATAACTATTACATAGTGACTTTAGCTTACATTACTTTTGATTGCTTATGCCACAAATGAGGACAAATGTTGACTGAAATCATTAATAGAGGCTATGGTACATTTTTAGGAAGCTCCCTATTTTAAGAGTGTTATGCTGCTCCTTTTCAAACACATGGGAGGGACTGTTTTCTTTTGTTTGTTTTTTTTCTCGTCAGAAATGATGTGAGCCACCAACCAGCATTTTTAGACTCCAATGCAATGTTTGCTAATTAAAATTATAACAGCAGTGTCTTCTCCCTCTGTGTCTCAGACTTGCGAGCACAACTGACTGACCAGATCAAGATTTTGGACTCCCAGGTAGAGGTGAAACAGCAGCAGCTCTCAGATCTTTCTGAGTTTCTCCGCCGACGCGGCGATATCGAGGCCGAGTACGCACGAGCCCTTGATAAACTCACAGAGAGGTTCACACACAAGACCAAGAAGTGAGGAACTGACATCTCATTTCACATGAATGCATAATCAGTCATAAGCCGTTCGCTGTGAGTAAGGATGATCTCCTCCTCTGCAGGAAGGAGCAGTGGGGTCAGTCAGTGTGTCAAGTCTGGTCTGTTTTGCTGACTCAGACTCGTTTGGAAAGTCGTGAGCACTCAACGTTGGGTGACACCTGCTGCAACGCACTTACGCAGCGGTTAGCGCACAGTACCGAGGACACACACCGGCTCCACAAACGGGTGAGTGGGATACAGAAATTCTTGCTGATTTTATTTATTTATTTATTTTTTGTTTCAGATTAAAATCTTTCAAGTCGAAATGAAACAGTTTACAGTGTACGGATAAATCATGGTAACATTTCAAATCTTGATTTGCCCTGCAAATTTCAATTACCGTGAATAGCATGTTGAGTGCAATGCGTTGTGGTTGTTGCCAATTCTATCGACTTGTTTTCAAAAATGCGACAGGCGGCCATTTTATAACTTTTTCTGGTGAAATGGGCGACTTTTGAAGATTGAGACTTCTTTGTAGAAGCACTCACACCGAGGAAATGTTCAACTTAGTTGTGTCTACTATATATAGAATAGAATAGATGATATTTCTGCCAACAGAGCAAAGAGGTTGGAATCCAGATGCAGGATGAGTTGCTTAAAGTCACTACTGAGCTGCAGACGGTGAGCAAACTACATTGATGTTCTGCATATTAAAAATGCAAAATAATGTCATATGCAGAGGAAACCGATACTGATCATGTGCACTGCGTGTTACACGGCTCATGCCGATGAAGGCTTTGAAGACATACAATCAGTACCACACTGACTGCCTGATAGCTGAGGGCAAACTGAAGGAGGCTGAGCGATTGGAAGAGCGACACACTGGCAAGTCTGCTGAGCTCGGCATCGGCCAATCAGGAGGGCAGAGGCGCAGCTCTGTCAAGAAGATGGAGAGATTAATGGAGAAGGTAAATCACATGCGCTCCCCTCAGTATGACATGAGAATGTTTACATTTTCTGTGATAGTGAAGGGAATGTTTATGTCATGTGTTTACATGAATGGACAGATATTGACCTGATGTGTATTGTGTTTGTATCTAAATGGACAGAAAAGAAGTTGAGATGGTGGACTATATTTTTGTGCCCAGTGCAAGTATAGTACAAGGCATGCTCAAAGGCCTTGACTGGTTTTGGGTATTTTTGCAGACGCATGCAGCTTAATGCAATTAAAAATAGGCTTTTGCGCCGTTGTGGGTGTGAACATAGTCATCTGGATTCACCACCAGTCGAAGCGGCTTCTCTCAATTCCTTTCCAGCTTGTGCGCGAGAGGCGCAGTCCTTGATGTGGTTGAATAAGGAATTGGTTTTCTGGAGTCCATGCTGTGGGTAGAAGTGCAGTACAGTACGTTCATAAAGACCTGAAAGCAGACCTACACGGACGGATGATCTGGGAAGAGGGCACTTGGCAACTGCCCTCCCTGCCACAGCGATTGTTTTAGCCCTCCACCAAACCCCCCTATAGTTGTGCTGTGATCAAATTCACCAAAACGGGTGTTTGACTACATGCGTCAAAAGGTAGATGTGATTCCTTTGAGTGTAAAGTTTAGTTGAATTCCAACCACCAGATTGTAAGACGTGCACGTCACAGAAAACACCCTTGGTATGCCAAAACGCCCACCAAAGCGCGGAGTGGTCTGCCAAATCCTCAAACAGGCAAAACGAGGTTTTCACCGGGATGAAAATCAAAATATCCCAGCTTTGTTGCTTGTGCTCAGGTTCAACGTCTTCAAATATCGAGCCCCGTGTGTGTTTGTGAATGGACTTACTTACATGTTTACTAAATCTTATGTGTGCGACTGAACGGACAGTCATGTGTTCATCGTACGCGTTGATATGAATGGAAAGCCATCTTTGGATTTGTGCAGTACACGTGAGTGGACAGATACATGTCAGCATTCTACAGTGGCCTATAAGTGTGATTGGACAGAGATTTTGTGTGTGTATGCAGAGGCATGGCCGAGTGCAGGAGACCCAGCTCAAGTGCACTAAAGCTCGAAACGACTACCTGCTCAATCTCGCTGCTGCCAATGCGGCCATGAACAAGTACTACCTGCAGGATGTCAGCACTCTCATTGACGTAAGAAATAAACATTTCAACAGCTCTTTCATCCCCTTCAATCCAGGATATGGACGTTATTTGTTTCTTTCCATTTTAAATTTCCCAGAGAAAAAAACATGACACTATTATTTTGTCAAACTCAGTCCTAAGGCCCATTTTTCAATGTCAATATATTTTGGATCTGAGCCTAAAATTGAAATATGAAAAATATGTCATTCCTTAAATGATAAATAATGAGTTTCACTTTTGATTTCCAATTCAAAACGGAATGAACAAATGACACAGAAATTTCTCTCTGACACATTATCGGCATTCATCCTTCCCCCTTCCCCTTCGATGCTTTATTGCTGCCTATCTCCCCCCCGGGCAGTGTTGCGACCTGGGTTTCCATCCGTCTGTGGAGAGGGTAATGAAGTGCTACCTGGCTAGTCGGTGGCGCATCCAAAAGACGGAGGAGGCAGGGCTCAAGCAGCTGGAGGCCGCAGTAACGTCGCTGGACCAGGGCGGAGACAGAGATGCCCTGCTGCAGCAGCATGATTCCGCCTTCTGCCTTCCGTTTAGGTTTAACTACCATCCACACGAGGGCGACCAGGTATAACGGGATTTCTGTAGAATCGTGATGAAACCCGAATGTGGCTCTATTTGGTTGATGATTTGTATTCCAGGTATGTGAGGTGAGCGCGGAGAGTCAGGTTAGATACGAGATGGAGACTAGATTTCAACAACTTCAGTCTCGACTAGCTGCTGTCACTCTGGAGACAGAGGAGGTAAGATGACCTTCAGTATAGCATTTAAAACCAAGCCCAAACACGATCAGCAAGAATTCACCAAGAATGGACCCCCCCGACCCCCCCCCAAAAAAATGTAGATCGGGCATGGGTAACTTAAATGATGGAGAGGGCCACAATTTAGCACTACTGGGCTCACATAGGACCACGGACTTGCTTACCAAATGCATGACAAAAACTGAATTTTTAATCATGACAAAATGCATGCAAAATACATCATAATTATTGTATTTAATTTATGATAATACATTTTTCAAAGCATGTATAAAAGATCCAAAGCAAACAAAACAACTCCAAACCACAAAGATTTTTTTTTTTCATTGAATGTATTATACATCATTTTCTGAAGAATTGCATGCAGCCTGTGGACAACCCGTTGCCTATCCCTGATACAGATAAATTGCCCGTGATAATAGTTTAAACTCTACATATACCCCAAAAGGTTGATTCTGCCTTTTTCCATAGTTTAATAATCAACAGCAGAGCAACGGTAGGTTTAACGAATTGCAGCCGTCTCGTCCAGCAGACTCACAAAATGGCGTGCTCATCGCATATCTAAAATGGTGCATCACTGTTATATGCTTGTTTTCAACAATCGCTAAGGGAAATAATTGCCAAGACCAAAGATAGTAGAACATACTGTATTCTGCATTTGGAGTTAGTTAAGGAAAGCTAAAGTTAGTTTACTGAAGCTAAAGTCAACTGATGATAGCTAATATTTCTATTTTTCTCCACTGTATGGTAAGAAAGTGAAAAACAGTTTCCTGATGATCTGTATCTGGCCTTATCTCAGGTCAGTAAAACCCTCAAAGCGACACTCACAGCCCTGCTGGACTCCATGTGTGACAGCGACTGCAACGCCGCCCCCGACGTGCCCAGCAGCCTATTACACGAGGCCGCCGGGGCAGGCTCCGCCCCGAAACTTACCCTCGCCAAACGTCGAGCAAATCAGCAGGAGACAGAGACCTACTATTTTACAGTGAGTTATATTTATAGTTTGTACAAAGTACTATAATGTCAGAAGTGATGTGAAAGAACAAAAGCTCCATGCAGAATATTAGTGTTCACATTTTACTGGACAAAATGGTTACATTTTGCATCATCAACCTGCACGACTTGTTTAAAAAAAAAAAAAAAAAATGCTATTGTCTCTTTTCCTATAGAAAGTGAAGGAGTTTCTCACCAGTAGTTCTCTGACTTTCAAACTTCAAGCCAAACACGATCTACTCCACGATGCCATTCAGAAAGGTATGCTCGTAACCCTTTTGCGCACCCTGTAACCTGATAACATGTTAAGCTGTCCACTGTAGTGACCGCTGTCAGTGGAGCCGCCAAATTTGGTCTCAAAGAGGGACTTGTGGAGCGATCCTGTCATCTACTGGCATGTTATCGGTATTAAGTGAATCAATACATTTGCGGTGTAGTGTATCCCCTGACTTTGAAATTTGCATCAATCGAGCTCTTTTCTTCAAGTGCTTGTCCTCAATTGTCACATTTAAATTATTTTTTAATTGTGTTCTTCTTATTGAACTGAGCAGCCACACACATCCCAATGTTCTATTGGGTTGCGATCTATGGTTATCAATATTTCTAGTTAGTTATCATCGGTATTATCGTTCAGTGGTGGCATCACAACAAAAAAAGGCAAAACACATCAACTAGCAAAAGAACATTTTGATGGGGACGAGCAACTTTGGAGGTTCCACTGTACGGCAGTAGTTTCTCAAAGACTGGTCACTCCTGAAATATGTGAAAGAAATTTTAAAAGTGTTTTGTTTTTCTGCTCTTTCCTTCAGCTGAGGCCGTCAACACAGACCCCTCCAGGTATCTATGAAATGTAAACATAGTATGACTGAATGAGATATGGCGAAATCGAGAGAGGAGAGCAGTGAGGACAGAGAGTTGGTTTCAACATTTCCATTTTGAGCCATTCTCAATGACATAACAGGTCAATTCTTTTTTTTGGGCGGGGGGGAATGGGACCGCTGAACTCAAGTGTGACTAATAGCTGCATTTAGCAAGCCTCATTACAGCCTCTTTGAATACCCACAAACAAAATGCCATAATGAGTTTTATGTACTTCCCAGAGCTCATTGCGCTCGCTCGGTGCGAGTTCGCAAGTCCAGACCAATATCCCAATTTTGCCACACACTCTTCAGCACCGATATACTCTCCTACATACAGGTAACGATCACGCAACCTCCACATCCAAAAGTGCATATTCCATCTTTTGATTTGCTTTTGTGAAACTTGGTTTTGCTTTTCTGAGGAACTGATGCGGAATATTCTATGCCCGTGTGTGTGTGTGTGTGTGTGTGTGTGTGTGTGTGTGTGTGGGTGTGTGTGTGTGTGTTCTGTGTGGTCATGCTTATAGCTTATTTATGGCACTCTGTCCTTTCAATCCATTTCCCACTTTTATCCGTTCCCCTCTTCCAAAAGGGATTAAAATACACTCCAGTCTTTCTTGCCTCCTCTCTCGACTCTGCAACTTAACGTGTGCACTTGGCGCAACTCCTTCTAAATCTTTCCTACTCTTATTTTTTTATGCACATCTTTTTCTTACCTTGCCTTTTCTCTTTCTGTTTTCTGCTGTGCTTTGCTTGGTGTAGAAGAAGAAGAAGAATGTCTCGTACACAGGTACCAAACTCTGTTGCTTCTCATAAGAAGCAGGAAATACGAGGTCATTTTGTCACCCTTAAAACTCACTGACAGGGGAGTTTTATCTTAAAAATGCTATAAGGGATGATCGTTCATCCCGTAGCCATTTTCTTTCCTTTTGTCTTAACAACCTCCAAAAAATATTTCTCAGTAGAACAGCTAAATTAGGATTTCCCAACTCCTGTAGGAGAAATACACAGAATAGATATATAAAGTTGGATTATAAATTACCTTTCGATGAGAAACGGAAGTTACTGACGATATGACGGAAACATAAATGGGTGCGTGGGGGTGGGGGGGGGGTGCTGCTTCACCACAACGTTTCTCATCTTTGCTTTTGCCCTGGCAATGCCATTGATGCATGTTTTCCACCTTAGCAACAAAAAGACAAAGCTGCCATCATTTCATGATTGACTTTCTGTAGCTTTTCAACCTTCACATTCTGTTTATTCATTTTCCAATCACGCCGCAAATGAATTTGCATTTTTTTCCCCCCCTCCTACAAAAGCTGTTATTTTATTACGTCTTCTTTTCTCCGTGTCCTATTTCTTCTGACTCTGAAATCCTCTTTCCTCTGCAGAGCTCCGGCCAGCAGATCCCTGTGGTGGTTGAAAGCTGCATCCGCTTCATAAACCTTCACGGTGAGACAATTTGCATGACTGGCCATAAACCATGCTGGGAGAGCTTCTACGGACTTTAAAACGAGCGGATGTAGTCATCATGATGTCAGCCCACTGTGTTCTCTATTTCTACCAGCAGTAGAAGTTAGTCATATGTATTTTAGTCCCAGTGGGATCATACTTCACTGTAGAACCAATTTCTTATTGTGAACCTTAATGCACAAGTTAAAACAATAAAATTGTGTGTGTGTGTGTTTCAGGTCTCCACCATGAAGGAATATTCCGAGTTCCTGGGTCACAAAGAGAAGTTAATTTGATCAAAGATGCTTTTGAGAGAGGTAAATCTGGGGGGAAAAAAAGACAAGAGTCAATGTACAATATGCTCCTAAATGATTGATTTGAACTAATATTATACTCGGCATCTTTTTATATGCATTTTTTCTTTGTTAATCACAAACGATTAAGAGATTAAGCAAACCATTAATGTAATAAAACACACTGTGTGGACCCTCATCTTGACGAGAAAATGAAGACTTGGAACGAACACAAATGTAGTGTTTAGTCTACTTATATTATGTATGTATTATGTTTGGGAAGGTGAATTTTCCTGTACAAATTAGTTAAAAATTTAAAATGCCCGAGTTCATTTTGGAGCTCGTAATGCATCATTTTGAATCTAGTTCATGCTCAGAAAATGAACTAGTTCATTGGATTTTTTTTTTGTTTTGTTTTTTTGTTCCAATATGTTGCTGTGAGCTCCCCTCATAATACTGTACTGGCATTTCCCCATTGTTGCTACCCCTTCAGTCCACTTGAGTAAACAGCTGCATCTTTCGCCCTACAGTATCAAAAACGGGGGAAAAAAGTTTTTTTTTTTTGTTTTTTGTTTTTTTTTTATGTTTTTGTTTTTAATATATGAAGAATTGAAACAAACATGACTAACTTAATTATCATCTTTTTTAATGTGCAAGTGCAAATACAATCTCAGGCTTACAGTACGCTTAGGTAGGAAATTAGCTGTCACTGCAGCTAGATCCCTTAACACATAGGTGTCAAACTCAGGTCCTGGAGGGCCGCTGTCCTGCATGTTTTCCAAGTCTCCCTGTTGCAACACACCTGATTCAAATGATCAGATCATCAGCAACCTCTGCGGAAGCCTGACATTGAACCTGTTCATTTGAATCAGGTGTGTTGCAACAGGGAGACTTGGAAAACATGCAGGACAGCGGCCCTCCAGGACCTGAGTTTGACACCCCTGCCTTAACACATTGCAACTAACCGCCCCAGTTTTCAGGTGACCTGAAAACCGCGACCGACCTGCGACCTTTTTGTCGGCAACCAAGACAGATTTCCAGCGAAAGCCAACCACCACATGCTCTTTTTTTCCCCCTGCAAGCTGCATTTATGCTTTTAAATTGCGATGGTGGTGGCTTGGGTTGTCAAATAAGGTACCGTATTTTCTGCACTATTAGGTGCTTTGGAGTATAAGGCACACCTTTAATGAATGGCCTATTTTAAAACTGTTCTCATATATCGGGTGCACCGCATTATAAGGCGCATCAAATAGAAGCTAAAATAGTGGCTTCAGTTGCGCTATGCATCCACTGGATGGAGCTATGCTGAAGGGAATACAATACAATACAGCTTTATTTATACAGAATGTCCAAAAGCCATTCACAAACATCTGATTAAGCGCAGTCATAAAAATGTTCATGATGCAGAAACGCATGATGTTCAGTTCAATGCCCCTTTCTGTCCACAAAACAAGGTGCTTTGGATGGCTCTCCAATTCTGAATTATTCACTGAACTTGTGTTGAGACACATTTTGTATATCATGTCGATATCTGTATCTCCCCGTGTAGGAGAAGACCCTCTGTCAGACAGTGAGTGTGACTTGGATTCAGTGGCTGGGGTTTTGAAGCTTTATTTCAGGGGCCTCGAGCCTCCCCTCTTCCCTTATGAGAGCTACTTGGAGCTGCTGGAGTGTGTCCGTAAGAGCCCTCTCGATTCTGTACTCTTCGTTTGCAGATACCGATCATCCTGTGCTTCAACATTGTTGTTACTTTTTATCTCCTGAAATTTCTCACACTTGAATTCCACCTCCTTATCCGACATGTACTGGTACTGAAGTCGCAGTCAATTGTGTCGACAAATCTCCAATCTGGCACTGTGGGAACAGCTCCTGGCGGCTCATTATCACGAGTGGCGCTGGTCCAAATCCTATAAATACTAATGAAGTGACTATGACACCTCATTACAGTAATTTAGTCACTATGTTTTAATAGTAATGAGGGTTTTACATTTGAAGGGGAAAAAAAGTTAAAGCACCACAAGAGTCTTCCAAGAAAGGTTTCAGATTGATAAAGCTATCTCCCCATAATTTTATGGCATTAGTCTTGTACTATTTAAAATACAGTGGTACATTTTCGAAGGATTGTTAAAAGCTGACAAGAGCAAACGTCCTTGGACCAGTTCTTCACAAAAAAACAGGCAAAAACCATTTCTGAGAGAGAACATGAACGAAAAAGGGCAAAAAATGATGAGGACGCCGTTAAAAGTTAAATGACCATCATTTTTATTCTTTACTCTATTCTTCGTTTTTTACATTATGCACAATTCTCATTTATTGTGCAATGATCTAATTGTAATGTGTATTTGTTACATATTTTGATGCATTTTTATGCTTTTGAAAACATTTATGTCTGAATTTTGGGGGGGCTTGGAATGGATTAGGGCATTTACATGGAAAATGCGTCTCTACTTACAACATTTTCTAGTTAAGAAATTTATGCCGGAACCGATTAATTTTGAGTCCCACTGTACAGTTGTCTGTTCTCTTATTTAACCCTTTCAGGCATAGTGGTTACTACAGTGGACAGCTCATGGTCTTACCAGGTGCATGAAAGGGTTTATACAGGGGAGTGATTTAACGATGAAATTAATGTGCCCATGCAGTAGGTACGGCATTCGTTTGTCATTTAAACATTCAGGGCATGGCTGGCACATACCATTTTCCCACTGGTCCACTATAAGACATTCAATAATTGGCAATGCAGAATTTGTGATGTGACAAGGAAAAAGATTCAACTGAATCTGATTTTTTTTTTTTCAAAAACCTTATTGGCTTTTCCTGGTATTTAGACAAATGGGTCGGCGTCCCAACATTTTATTCTCATCAAAAGATTGCGAATGCAGCAAATTGAAATTTATTTTGTTTGTCTGATATTGTTCTTTCCTCTTCCTTCCTCGCATTTTTATTCAGAAATCGAAGGTATGGTGGAGAAAGCGGCACAGATCAAATCGATTGTCTCTGCCTTCCCACGACCTCTCCTCATCATAATGCGATACCTGTTCGCATTCCTCAATCAGTGAGTTAACACATGAGAGGGTTAAAAAAAAAAAAAATTGTAGGATTTTGGACAGAAAACATAATTACTGTAGAATTATTACATCCAATATTTTTTTTATGCATTACTACTAAAATACAGTACCTCAACATAGTCATCTCTTTCATAAAACCAAACTTGAATTAGCTATGTATTTTTTTTTTTTTTTTGACAAAATATCTTTGTGTATGTTTGATTATTTTTGCCGCCTGTTTTGGGAGTACCGTTTCATTTGTGCGTGTCTTCACAGCGTGACTCAGTACAGCGACGAGAACATGATGCAGTCCTACAACCTGGCCGTCTGCTTCGGCCCGAGCCTGCTGAGGGGGGATGATTCGGATGATGCCGTTGCTCGGCAGCCACAGGTCAATGACCTTGTCAAAACCATGATCCTTCAGCACGATGTCATATTTCCCGGCCAGTCCGAATTGCCAGGCCCGATTTATGAGAAGCACATGACCCTTGAGCAGGAATATTGGTAAGGGATGTCATAGAAATGGGATTTAAAATGTGTTTTTTCATTCCTTAAGTTTGCCTTTTTTTCTCATTACTATATGCGATGTGTGTGATGCGAGTGACAGAATTTAATATCCAGTTTGAGATGGGGTTTCAAGTATGTAAAGCAGCGTCATTCTTTGGCTTATCCGCTGGCTTATTAAGTGAAGTTGATGCCACATCAAAGACATTTCTTGGCAGCCGTTTGCAAGCAATGTTAAATTTTTGTGAGGGGGAGAAAATCAATCATTCATAATATTGTCCTTCTATTTTGACACTGCTCCGTGTCATTGTCGTTTACGAAGAGATACGCAGTCAATCAACGAACAAAACATGCCGCTTGTTTGGGATGGCTGAGTTTTTCAATGTTTGACATCCCTCAAAAATATGACTTTTGAATTAAACCAATGGGAAAAAACACACAGCGTCTAGTGCACTGTGCAGTTTGTTCCAGTAAACAAGATCCATGGCTTTGAATATTTATAATGTTTTAATACACTGTGTATTTTTTGAAAGCCACTTTTAGTTGTGAAATGAAAAAATGTGGACTATTCTCTTTTGACCAATCAAGAGCAGAGCGTTCAACCCACACCCGAGTCAATAGCAGTCAGACATTCATAGCATAGAAAAAAATCAACTACTCCAAATAACTTGGCTTTCATTATTAACCCTTTCAGGGACAGCGGTTACTACAGTGGACAGGTGATCATTTTATCAGGTTACAGGGTGCATGAAAGGGTTGACAGTCTTAAGTTTGAAATGATAACTGGTATGATTTGGGCTATTTTCAAAGAGAGCTGTCATCTGTATAATGCAGCAAGCATTTTCAAAATTACGTGAACAGAAAAATGAGGTATCATGCAAAAGGAGGCCTGTGAGTGTGGTTGTGTAGCCAGAGGAGGAAAATTCCCCAAACTCACCTTTTGGTTTGTCTGTAGTGAACCAATCACAGAGGAGGGAGATGGAGAGGCTGAACATCTACCAAGTGAGGATGGTGAGAACACACACATGCCTGTATGCACACACAGTTACAGTTACAGATGTGACAATAAATAGAGCTTCCCTGCGATCCTTTTTGGAATTCGGTTTTAAAATATGACTGTAAATGAAAAGGTTTCTGTGTGGGGTTTTTTTTCCATGTACTGCGCGTACAGAGTGGGAGGCCATGGCAATGTTCGACTATGTGGCGAGGTCACCGGCAGAGCTGTCGTTCAAGCAGGGAGATCTCCTTACTCTTCATAGCAAGGCCTCTTCTGAATGGTGGAGGGGTGAAGCAGCAGGGGTCAAAGGTCTCATCCCACACAAGTACATCAGTGTCTTGGAAGGGTGAGCAAGCACCCTTTAGAACCAAGACCACATGATATGTTTGTTTCTTTTTCTACTTTTTTTCAGACAGGATCAGAAATGAAAAGAAAAGGAATGTTTGGTCTTCTCACCTGACAGGAAATCTCATCTCATACTAAAACTATGTATTGTGAAGGTAACGATTCTTTTCTCCTCCTGCAGGTCAGAGAGAGGGAAAAGAGAAGAAGGAGGAGGTGGCAGCGGCGGCAGCACTGGAAATTTGTCAACAGAAGATCCTCATACAGAAAACACTGTTCGGTAAAACACACACACACACACACACACACACACACACACACACACACACACACACACAGACATGCACATATTCACATTCCGCAATGCTTGAGAAATAATCACTTCTTTTGCATCAGGAAATGATTTTATAATCATTTTTTTCAACCTGAACATTTGATTTATGATTTTTTTTAAGGCACAGTGTCTAATGTTTTTTCAATGTTTATTTCCAAAACCCACTATTAATTTCAATAATGTGCAAAAAAACCCCAATTCTATCACATCAATGTAATTTGAGCAAATGTATTATTTCAGAAGTTTCTATCAAACTGGTAGCCCTTTGCATGAACCACTACCCAAGAAGTAGCGCTCAATTTCAAAAATGCCACGCTAGATGATCACAGATGAAGTATAATGCCACCTTACGATATTCGTAAATGGAACATTTTGCTTTCCATTTTGCTTAGAATATATTTTAGAAGACCTTCCCTTCACAATGAATCAGTTGGCAATTTAATTATACGTTCAGTAAGTCCTATATGTCTGAATTTCATTTTCAACTGTTGTACATTAACACCACCATCAGGAAATATTTGATGTACTCCATTTGGCATACATTGTGGACATTGTTCTGGAAAAAAATGTCAAATATAAGATGGAAAATGAGTACTCTGAACTACAAATAATATATACTTGCATGTATTAGTAACACCATACAATAAAGTAACAGAGGCTCTGTCAGAACTCATCATTTTTGTTCTGACAGTATTCCTGTTACTTTTGAACCCATCACAAATTTTGTACATAATTAACAGTACATGCAAATATTCAGTTTCACCCAAAATTGTATCAGTCGAAAACTTCCAACATTCCTTTGTGTGCTTTTCGACAGGATGCGGGTGAACAGCGATGGTGCTTCCTTGCCCGGGCGACAGCGAGGAAGTGATGGAAGCCCTGGTCAAAAGCCACCCGCCTCCCCGGCTGCACGTCACCTTCCAGTGTAAGTCAGACTTACACCTCAAGCTTATAAAATGTATCGACTAAAAAATTAAATAAAAAATAATGTTTCAATTGAGTCATCAAGTAGTTATGCTGCTACAAAAAATGATGTGAAGCAGCAATGTTCTGAAAATAAAATTGGGGAGCACCAAGCACTTCTAAAGGGCCCATGCCACACCGATTTTTTTTTTTTTAATCTTTGATGTCCTTTTATCATGTTTGCAAGATCATTTGAGTTGAAAATGCCCAGGATGCCCTTTTTCAAATATTCTAGTTGGTCCAAAAGGCTTGACAGATGAGACGATTGGATTTCTCATGAATATTTGAACTGCAAATGAAATTTGCTCAGTTTTGTTTGCTGTTCTCTTTATTAATTTGAAGATGGAAAACAACTTTGCTCTGATTGGCAGCATGCTATATTTTGGCGGCTTGGGGAAGGATAATGCATTTTTCATCCTTTGTTGTTGGCTCTTAGTATCATTGTGAAGCAGAATCCAGCAAGCGTTTCAGTGTTTGGCCACTAGTAGGAAACATGAGCTGGGTTTAGACCCCAGGTGTCAAAGTCTGGTCCTCGAGGGCCGCTCTCCTGCACGTTTTAGATGTTTCCCTCTTCCTCCTGGTGTTAGTCTTACGCTACTGCTATGCTGGCACACAAAGTAAACATGAAAGCCAACAAGATGCTTGTCTACCCTCAGGACTCTATTTTTGTGACCAGTGTCTGGCATGAGGCGCAGTCTAAATCTGCGCAAGGGCGTGAGAGACTTTGTTTTGGTATTTTTACAGACGCCAACTAGATTCATCGCCAAAAGGAACTGGCTACTCTCATTCTCTTTAAAATGGGCGCTCGAGGGGCGCGCAGTCCTTGACGTGGATGCAGGAGAAACTGATTTTCCAGAGACCATGCAGGAGGTCATTTATCAGGACCTACGAGCAGACCTCCATGGGTCAATCGTGTGAAGTTGGCGAGGGAGATAATAGATTTCTGTGGTCAATTGGAAATGATCCTCGGTTGGGGAACAATGACATAGACGACACAAATAATTCATACTTGATTAGAAAACTTCCCAACTGAAATTATAATTCAGCTAACAGAAACAGCAATGCACATGAGATCATCAGGTTATTTTCTGAGTTAACACAATTACTGCCCCAAAGGCCAATGACAAAATAAGCACATAAACTGTTAGAATGACAAACTATTTTAAAAAACTTTTATTCCTAAACATTGTTTGACATCTAAGTTACATAGTCAGTGAGTAGACCACCAAGAAGACACAATGTTTGTGTTTTGGGTTCTTGAGGATAAATTAAAGAAGAAAAACTGCGTTTGTGTCTCAGGTCTCAGGAGCGAAGACACACGCTGGACACTGTGAGACAGGCAGGGTTCAAACCTGTGGACAGACCTGCGTTTGTTCAGGCAGACAGGACATCAGCTGACAAGGTTGGTCGCTCAATTGAACCGATTGTTTGTTTTCCCAGAGCCAAATCATATTTTGTTTCTCTTTTCGTCATTATCTACTTTTTACACGAAATATTTAGGCGTATGTTAGATGTACAGTACTGTATTTTCCACACTAAAAGGCGCACCGCATTATAAGACGCAATCTACAATGCATCCACTAGATGGAGCAACGCTCAAGGAAATGCCAACAGAACGCTACACTACACCCAGATTTATACAGCGACGATCAGATGTCAGTAAAACTTATTTCGTAAAGCAGCGACACAGTTCACTTAACGAACAGCAAGTTATAACATTGACTTGTTAATGTTGAACTCTCTTGCCACTGCTCTTATTTCCATGTTCAACTGTGAAACCGATCGCCTTAAGTTTGAACTCGGCGTTGGAAGCATGTCTTGAGCCATTTTGGGGTTGACATATTACTGTAATGACCGTACACAAGGCGCATTGGATTTTAAGGCGCACTGTGAGCTTTTAAGAAAATGGAAGGGTTTTAGGTGTGCATTTTAGTGCGGAAAATACGGTAAATGTATGGCAACTCATTATATTTAGAGCAAGGTTGACCAAACGTTTTTAAACCGAGAGCTCTTTCTTGGGTCCTGATTCATGCAAAGGGCGACAAGTTTGAAACACACTTCTGAAAATTTTAATTTGCTCAAATAACCTTTAATGACTTATTATCATGTGTTTTTATATTCATATTGAATTACATTTATTCATGTGAAGACACTGATCATATTCCTGATTTCTCTGAAACAGATTCAAACGAACCCGCAACATTTTATTTCTTGAAATCTCTTCCGGCATCCACATTTTCAAATGATCACTTCTACCACATTTCTAGAATATCACAATGTCGATGAGCTATGTTTGGAGCAGGTCCACAGGCTACTTATGTGGTTCTGGGCTGGGCCACCTTTACTTACTCGACAGCGTCCCTTCTTCCCCTGCCGCGGCAACAAAGGTGTGATGCCCCGCGAGCGCCACATTTCTCATGCCCTCACAGTGAGCCTGAGGTTAGGCCGGCCAGCCGCCCATCGCCTCCCACCCCCTCGCAGCTCCCCGCCCACCAAGCCAGCCAGTCTAGCCATGACTTATTGATTCTGCCAGTATGCTTGTCTCAAAGATTAAGCCCGGCAAGTGTGAGTACATACGCCCAGTACCCTGAACTAACTGGTCACCTTCCAAGCCTTTTGTATAATCGCAAGCACTCACCCCTTGTGGCTCTCCCCATCTGTCATCGTGACAGCCGCTGCTCCGATCCTGTCAGCATCGCTGCGTAAACAAACAAGCACCCGGGATCAGTCACATGATGTTCCGTACAAGTTCGTGATTGGTCCGCGGATCTGGCAGTGATATGATTGACTGATAAAAATAATAGCAGAAAAATGTGGAATTGAATACCTTGCAATATAGGCTCTTGGGCTTTAAGCTAGGCATCTTTGAGCGGGCTTCATGACTAAGTGACTGACATAAAGTTCAACAAGTGGCAGACTAATTTGAAAGTACTGTATTCAGATTTCTTTCTAATAGTCCCTCTCTTGGCACACACTAGAATTACAGCCACAGCACTGCACAGAATCGCCTGTGGGGTGGTCAACTCATGCCAAGAATGTGAAATGATTGATTGAAAATCACCAATCACCACCATTTTTAAAAAAAAAATTCTGATAGGCCCCTGACTTGTGTATTACCACGGGCTCCAGCCCAGATAAGTCCGTTGGTAAAGGCGGTCCCGGTGCCCCTGATGTAAAATACTTATTTGGTAAAATTAGGCAGTAAAACATCGTAAATAGTTTTTCTTCTGGGGGAATGGCCATAAAAACGTTCCCCAAATACACGCATAATCTCACACGAAGCCCTCCTTGACGAGTAGAAGCAGAATTTTCTCTTCCAATAGGTGTCATGACCAGGCATCTCAATCCTTTTTTTCCATACATGTCTGAATACTCTCATTCATTCAGGTCGTTTTATTGTAAGCGCATTGAAACGATCGCAACTGGACTGTTCCGATTGTCTGAGCAGCCATTTTGTCTCTCTTCCAAACAAGCAAGCAAACAGTCTTCACATGCCTCCGCACCCACTGTCACAACTAAATGCAGTACGTATTAATGAGGATGACCGCTGATTTTACCACTTGCTGTTTCCAAAAGAGTGATACCATTCATGTGTGCCTCTAACTTAGAGCATAAATACTTTCCAGGCTGACACTCAGGCAAGGGCTGTCCTGTCTTGCTTCTGCCCATGATCTGATAAAGCCTGCTCGGATGAGAGGCAAAATGTCTGCCAAGACAATTCGAACGGTCTGTTTCGCAATCGAGACAGTGCGCTGAGGATTCTGTCCAGATCGTTTATCAATCGGTGCAGATGTTCTCCTTCGGGCTGTACTTAGTGCAGAACTTAAAGCAAGTAGAAGAGAAGAGTTTGTCATCTTAAATGTAATGCTCCATTTCCTGTTTTGATCCCATTCTGGCCCCGCCCCTCTGCCACTCTCAGGAGATGATCAGTCGCCAGATGAACTCTGTGTTTAAGGAGCTCTTGTCTCGACAACCTCCCATGCAGCCGCCAACTCTCGCAGCCGTGGCTCCCCCCGGTCCCCCTCCTTCTTCCTCCTCCTCCTCCTCCTCTTCCTCTCCGCTCCCTCAAGCTGCCCCCACTGCCAGAAAAGTGGGCTTTGGTATCCGAGGACGGGCCCTTTTCCGTCCGGTGGAGTGACGTACCCTAAAACTGGATGGATGATTGAAAGTATGGATTTAAAGCTTGAGAAGGAATACGGTGTCATGCATTCTGGAAAAATCTTGATTTATTTTTAGGATAAATGTATATATTTACATTTGTGCCATCTCATCGTGCCACACGGTGCTGTTTTGCAGTATGTCTTGTGTGATTTTTCAGCTGCTTTTGGTCTTTTTTTCCAAATATGTAAAGCCAGATTTGGTCTCCCTTTTTCGAAAATAAGGGATGTGTTCTGTCTGTTATGAAGGAATATTAGGGCGACACTGAAAAAAATGGTAACATTACAAAAAGCAAGCTTGAAATTTTATCAGAAAAAAGTGATACTACAGGAGTAAAATTTGTGTTTACAGCCCACACTCGTCAATAATTTTTTACAAATCAGAGATGTAAGTAAACTATACTAAATGAATTTTTAAGAGTGATTCTGAATCTTCCCTTGTTTTATTCTCAAGCATATCAGGTTTTCATAATTGTGGTAGTAAGAATGATACTCATAATGATAATAATAATAATAAAAATACATGTAATATATTTATTTATTAATACTTATGACTTAAGAGTTAGATTCAGCAACAGGTGGATTTTTTTTTTCCTGAAATGTCATAGTTGAATTACATGCAACTATTACCTATTTACCTGTAAGTCTTTGACTCTATTGTCGTAGCAGTATTTTGTTTTCCTTTAAAGTATGGCCCTGATACTCCTTCCTTATTTTTAGTGATGTGAATAGGCCTGTCACGATAACAAATTTTTCAAGACAATATATTTTCCCCAAAACGATCACGATAAACAATAGTGTTGTCGTGTTTTTTAATGTCACTGGTATGGTGATGACGTTAGAACAAAAAAAATCGGATTACATCATTCTGAAGTGCGTTTAAGTGCATTTGTGACTAAATTGAGAGTAGGCAAGATCGTTATTTCATTACAGTATTCATAGTTTTTTAAATATATTTTTGCTTACTGCTGACCCGTTTGAAATTTGTCATCAAAAGTCGGTACCTTGGCATAAGAAAGGTTGTATTCCCTCCGATTTTATCAATATTGACCAAAATAAAAGCCCGAATTAATAAGTATCAAATGCACCTCGTCTGCCATGTTTGTGTGTATAGCGACCAGCGATCTGAAAGCTACTGTATCTCGACGCACCAACATTGGACAGATACAGACTCGTTTCGCACTCGAAACGGATACAGTATCAGATGCCGGTCGCCAATTTCTTGAATTCCTGGTGGGTGTAACGAATGTTCACAGAACCAATCGTGCATAAAGAAGCCATTAAATACTACAAAGAGCAATGCGCATGGTTGCGCCCGCTAGCAATTAATGTTACTTAACTATTATCAGCACTACCATCCACTGCCGCGGCTCATTAATAAATGAGAAATAGACTCGCATATTCCGATTAAGAAACAATTTTACAGATGCGAACCAAACAAATTAAATGGGTTTCAGAAGCTATTCAATCATAGCATTTATATATATGTATATTTCTGTGCATGAGTGCTAAATTAACTCGGTGACGAGCAGGTTGACTGACAGAGGCAACGAAGAAGCGCATGTGAATGTTCATAACGTATGTAAACAAACACGCATGCAAATTGCCATTTTTCGACTCCCAAAAAATCCTATCCTGTCCATTTTTCCTCATCGTGCGATAAATTGATATAGCCATTATCGTGACAGGCCTAGATGTGAAACAAATTGATTGACATGCTTCGTGTCAGCAAAAGACTGTCCTCTGGTGGCAGGTTTTGAAAATGCAACTTCTGTTCATTATTGAAAGAGGAAAAAAAGAGCCAAACTCCGGTTTGTGTCAAGAGTGCCTCTGTTATTTTTACAGTTTCATTTTTCTCTTAATTTCAAGTCTTTTTACAATACATGACATGTAAAGGTGTTTCCATTGACATTGCTGTTCGTAGTTACGGTATGTCACAATATGAAATAGCATGCAGTGATTTGACAAACTTGTGATGGAAAAAAAAAAAAACCATTCCCTTTCATATGTGATACGTGGCCGACAAGGCAAAAACTCAGGGCTTTGCAGAGTTAAGATGGGCTGACTCAGGTTTGCCTTTGAAAGAATTAAGTGGCTTTTCTTGGCTTCCTTCAAGCTGTGCAAAGAGCCAACACTGCCCTCATGTCAGCGGAGAACTCATGTGACTTCTTCTGGCTTTAACTGTGACTATGGCATCAAAGTTTAGCAAACTCACTCCAAACTACACTCATGCACACAAAACAATCCACATATATATATATAGAGAGAGAGAGAGAGGGGCATCCGGAGAACAAGACCAAGAGGTCGATAATGTTATCTACTTTGATTCCACACATTTGAGATGGTTTTACATATATTGCATTCGTCTTCTGTTGTGTTTTCATCGAAACATAAATGTAATGCAGTTTCTTTGTTTTACAAAATGAAGGTACTCTTTTATTCAAAATTGCTGTTTGATAATGTCACTAGATTTAAAGTGTAAAAGTACAGTATATGTGTGGCAAAAGAAACTATGATGACATTAAAAGATGAAACGATGATGACTTTTAAGGTGTTGTCAGTGTATTTAATGAAGATGTTTTTACAGTACGACTGGCCGATTCTAGGCACCTGATTCCGACACCTGATGAATAGTTTATCATTCTATGGACATTCTGATGACCTGGATTCAAAACCAGCAGGGCTAAGTTGGTGTTGGGGGAAGAGCGGCCTCCTCTCCCCCGCGTGTTCGTTGAATTTCGGACGAGGAGAATGTTGGTAATCCAAATAAAGGCTGGAATCGATGAACAGTTCCTTCGAAGCTTTTAATAACGGAATATTCCGGGCACCTGCGGATTACAGACAATGGCTGCGGGTGACGAGTGCGAAGCAGGAAGAGAATCACATCATCTTTATACTATCAGAAGGGCGGTACAGAGACACAAAGTGTGATATCATAACTTTCATTTCTCCTATACCGATTCTCAGCTTGGCGCATTCCAAAGTTTGTGCGTCTTCAGCAGGGAGTACAAGTATTCCAATTCTAGGTGATGATTGTTACAAGGATGCAAAGCTACACTGCGGGCATGGGAAAGTTATACAGCATGACCAAATATGGGCATATTACAGACTTCATTTGTCACAGAACTTTGCCAGGTTTCCCTTACAAAATCATGTTCATGTTAATATCACAAGCATGTGTTTCGCACATCTGGCTCACATTCAGGTTTCGAATTTCAGCTCCAGCTTTCCCGTGTGGAGTTTGCATGTTCAGTCCGTGCTTGTGTGGCTTTTCTCCTGGTACTGGTTTGCTGCCATGCGGAAAAAAAAAAAAACATGCACAATCGCATCAGTGAGAGCTGAATTTTGCAAAGGCGTGAATGGTTGTTTGGCTATGTGCGTCAAAGTCCTCCAGTTCATCTGAGAGCCTAAAGGACAAGGGTCACCAACTCTGCATTTTTTTAGTTGCTTCCCTCCTCTAAAACACCTGATTCAAAGAATCTTACTTCTCCAACAATTGATGCTGTTTGTTCCCAGTGAGCATTTTTTCTCTCTCAGTACTGAAGGGCTTGACCAACACATAGGACTGAGAAAATAATTTATAAATATATTTTAGAATATCCAATAAAATATTGGGGGGGTGGGGGGTCAACAGATTTCTGATGGGGCTACACTCAACCGCCCTTTACCCTCCCTAACCCCGGTGTAGCGCCATCCCTACTCACCCTTCATCCCCCAATCCTGACTTGTCCTGCAACCTGAATTTATGGCCTTACCCTCCCTCCCCTAAAATAAGCTCTGCCCACAAACACCTAGTGCACACTTACGGGAGGAAAGTGGGCAACACACTCCAGTAAGCACTTTTAGCCACTGTGTGTATACGTATATACCTACAGGAGCGGTCTCCTTTCATAGGCTAAATCTGTCCTAAAGCATTCTGGATCAGTGCTCTCATCTCTGATACGGGATTGAGGTATGTTAGGCGTCATATCTCCTGTTGATGCTGCTGGATCCGCTCCACTCACTTCTTAACAATAACAGACCTGTGGATTAGAATTGATGTTGAATAGGTGTAGGCCTGACACGTGCACGTAGCCATCTCGTCATCTTTAATGAGCTTCCAAAATCAATTGCGAATCAATGTGAGACCTACTTGAATACACCAAGGCAGGATGAAACTCATCACGCTAGTGTAGCACAAGTAAAATGCTCATTTCTAATCGCGAGTGTGATCAGTTCCCTTCAGAAAGACCAAAGTAGATGATTCATTTCAAAATGAGCCGCGACTATTGACAGATTTTGCTGAGACACCTTTTTTAGGGCCTCGAAAACAGGTGGTAATGCCACTTGCACCTCACATGTCTTCTAGAAGGGTGTGTGTGTGGGCGTGTACAGGTATGTGTGTGCGTGCAGGAAACTCGACGGGATCAGATGATGTCTCAACTGTGGCATGCTTGAGCATTCTTCCTGCCTGGCAGTGAAGGTGATGATGGCAAGCGACGACTATATGGCAGGGTGCCCCATCAATGACACATACGAAGACGATGCGGCAGTGGAAGAGATCAACACTCTGCCTCCTCCTCTGGAATTTGCATCCAAAGCCGCAACTCCCGTGCTCAGTGCACATCCAGATGCACCGTGCGCCACGCAGACCACGCCCTCACCCACCCAACTGTCAACAGGGACCCTCGTGGTATCAACCGGCACCTAAAGGTCTCATATGTATTCATGTCATTCACTATGTGTCTGCTGCTGTATGTTTTTGCAGCGGCCTTGCTGCATGTAAAATTACAATTCAAACAAGGTGATGTTTGAGTTATTAAAAAAATAAATAAATAAAAAATCTGTGACATATCAATACCTGTATATGTATTTCGAATACATATAGGAGCAGACATGCGTTTCCACTGCTTCATGGTGACGATTGATGAGTACAATTAAATTTTTGTTGGTTCACCTTTTTACTTTTGAAATTTTGGATTCTGTAACTTTTTATAAATGTTTTAAAACTCTAATACATATACTATAAAGTTTAATATGCCTGCGACTGCCTAGTGGCCGGTCCGGGGAGAGCTCCGCCTCTGGACCAATGTCAGATGGGATCCAGCCAGGTTCCAAGCAAGCAAAATATAGGACACCCATCACTGAAAGTCATAAAAACACAACATAGTTGTTTTTGTTTGCGGAATGGACACATTAAATAGGCTAACTTGAATTGTCAAATCGAATAAATAAATAAATTGTATATAAGTATATGTGTATATAATATCCTTATCCTGGTCTTCATCTGTGCCACATTCCTTGACTTGCATGTTGTTTCCTGTATTCAGGTGGTGGTCAGTGATGTTCTCGTGGAGACAACAGCACCTCATTCCATCGAGCAAGTGTGGGTTTACAGTGCTGTTGGCTTTGAGAAGACTCGTGTGTGGACATATCGCTTCC